CCCCCCCGTTTTATTTCTTCCCTTTTCTTTTTAGGAATACAGTTCGTTTTTTTTTATTTTCTTTTTGCTTATTCTTTGTTGTTTTTGTTCTTAGAAAAGTAGAAGACTGTTCCGCTACCGGTAGCTCTAGGCTCGGCCAGGCTCAGCATACCGGCAGCGGTAGGCTTGGACTTGATAGCTGGGTCAAGTACTGGTGGTTTAATACACAAACATCTGGTTGGTATTCCTATGGGAGAATCTTTGAGGCTCACTTTAGCATCCTTGGTTTCCATCTTTAACGAGTACCAGTTTTTTGCTCAGCTGGTCCAGTCCTCTTTGTTTTTCAGTGCCGTACAAAAGAGCAACGTTGCTTTCTACCTGTCATGATCACTGTGGTCTTGCTGCTGTTCGTTCTTTCTTTTTTTTTTTCTTTTTTTTTTTTTTTTTGGGAATGCTGTTCACTCTTATGATATGTGTCTTCTGTTGTTTCTTCTCTTGTATGTCGTGTGACTTATGATGATAACAGGCGGCGTTTGCCTCCTTTGAACTCTCTGCGGGTTGTCATCGTTTTGCTCATGCCTTGGCTTCTTATGGCAATAGGTAAGGAAACATATCAGTGTGTGTTTCAATCCTTGAGTAGGCCTATCCAGTAAGGGGGGACATCTTTTTTGCCCTAGTCCGTAGGTGGGTTCATCTCTGTGGCCTATCCTGTATGTGGACCATATCTCTTTGGCCATCCTGTAGGTGTACTCAGCAGTGTTTTTTTTCTTTTCTTTTTGTTTACTCAACACACACACAGCCCCTTCTATTCTGGGGGACAACAGTCCGGTTACTTGTCACCGGCAAGCATAGCACAGTTATGACGACAAGCGTAATCCCAAGTCGGGTGCAATTACCGACTGTGTGACCCCACCCGAGTGGCAAGCGGCTGGGAGACTCCCCTTGGTACCCAGTCACCGCTTCTCCTGCAGCGGCTTTCTGCCCAAGCACCTGTCATCCAATTCACTCTTGATCCCTTCTATTACTAGCAAGCAGAACCCCCCCTTTCCTCTCCCCCTGTCCCTAACCCGTGCACTCCACTCCTCCCTTTGCTGCATCTTTTTATTGCACGGGGCCCTTGTTCCATACCTTGCACACCTTGCATTTAGTCCAGTCATTCCACATTCAATCATTGCGATGCTCCTACTTTCAAGTATTCCTGCTTCTACATGCCGTCTTATGTGGTCCTCATCCCCAGAACGTTGTATCTTGTGCATTGTATATTGTAGGTTATATAATATTTTATTATTTTTTATATTTTTTGCATTTTTATACGTACACCCTGAACCCCAGCTCCTCCCCAAGTACTGATATACCTTTGCCCTTGTGATAGTGTGCGGTGATTAGGATGCAGTGAATCGAGATTGGAGGTGTTCGTCCAATCGTCTGATACTAAGGTACCTGCTAGAGTTACAGCGTATTCTCCCACTAATATGCACTTACCCCTGCCTCATACTATTCCCGACCCCACTTGCCCCCCTCCCCCCCCAGATAGCAGTGCCCCCTACCATTTGACCGTGCATTTGATCAGGTTTAAGGAGCGGACCGAACACCAGGCGCCCGCCGTCCACCTGTACCGATCCTACATAAGGCCCTCATACTTGCATAAAGACCATCTGATCCGCTGAGGAAGTAGAGCAGCGCTTCCTTAATTCCTTCTGAAATTCCGTTTGTAATGCCACCCTGAGACTATCTTGGAAGTATGCCATGCGCTTTGCTGCAGCGGATCCCCTTTTTCCCATACCGCCAGTGTAGCATATCAGAAAGTGAAATGCACTAACAGCCTAGGATCTAGCAATGATGAAAGTGGCAACAAGCAGCAGCATAGATGCAACATTCACCAGATGTCAATGTGCACAATGCAACAAGTAAACCAACGAGAAAAACAACAACAACACATTTGCATCATCATCATCATGGGCTGGGGAACAGCGCAGCGGAATAATAGTAACCAACAGGACACGTGGTCAACAACAGGAAAGGGAGAAACTTCGGAAGGGCAGGACATTAGGAAGATTGCCCTTCCGCTCACTCACATAGGGAGAGATCCATAGACATGCGAGAGAGAAGGGGG